GAACGAATGCATTTGGAGAGAGTCCATCCAAAAAATATTATGTAGAAGAAAGAAAAGAAAATTAAAGTCCAACGTTTTTTTTTTAAAACATATTAAATAAATACATTTTAATTTTTGTTTTGCACTGGGTCATTGAAATTACTAGGACTCGAACCCCCCGCGAAAATTGCGGGGTAAAGAACATTCAACTACATTTTAAAAAAAAATTTCTTGCTAACATATCCAAAGATACAATTTATTTCTTTGAAACACATGCGGACATAACTCATAATCATTTTTAAAGTATTTTAAAACATTTTTTATTATCATTTCTAAGTCGGATTTACCCAAATCGGATTTATGAAAACTATGTAATAAGAAAATTAAACATATATATGAAGTCAAATAGAAACTAAACAATAAAAACTATTAACACATTGTAAAGAAAAACATAAATTGACCTTCAAATAGAAGTAAACACAACAAAGAAACAAAAAAAGAGACGCAACACTAAGCATTAATAACCACAAAACATATTTTCGAAAAAAAATAATCCTATGATGCATTAGTAACCACAAATAGTTTTTTTTTATAAAACGCAACTCAAAAATGTATTGTTAGGATTGCCATTTGAAAACAACTATTATTGACAATATATACAAATATTGGTTCAATGCGAAAGATAAATCATGGCAATGTACGTATGAAAAGTTACAAAAATCTAAATAACCATAATTGTTTTCTGATAAGATGCAATTCATGATACATTTTCACATAGAATCATACACACACCCTAGGATGCATTGTTAACCAGTAAACGATTTTTCGAGAAGAGACAACCCTATGATACATTAATAACCATAAAATAATTTTTTTTCCAAGAAGCGCAATCATGTGATGCATCAAAATAATTTTTTTGAAAAGACAATCCCAAGATGTTTTAAAAATCATAAAACTGTTTTTTGAAAAGATGAATTCTAAAATTCATTTACAACCATAATTTCTGAAAAGTTGCTTTAATAACCATAAAATAGTGTTTTGAAAAAGAGGCAACCATATGATGATGCAATAATTAACCATAAAATAGATTTAATCGAAAAATGCAACCTTTATATGCTTTAATAACTATAAAAATGTTTATTTGATAGAAAAAATGTAACCATGTGATGCATTAATAATCATACAATATTTTTTTAAAACACAATCATGTGATACATTAATAACCATAAAATAGATTTTTCGAAAAGACGCGATCATATAATGCATTAATCACCATAAATCGGTCTTTTCGAAAAGACGCAATCATAAGATGCTTATATAATCGTAAAACGGTTTTTTGAAAAGATGCAATCATAGGATTAATTAATAACAATAAGACGGATTTTTCAAAAATACGCAATCCAATTTTTTTTAATAATCATAAAACAGTTTGTTCAAAAATACATGACCATATGGTGGATCAGTAACCATAAAATGAATTTTTAAAAGGTTTGAAACCTTAGTTGCTATAATAACCATAAAGGTGTTTTTCAAAAACAAAGACAAACTACTGATGCATTAATACCTATAAAATTAATGTTCGAAAAGATGCAATATTTAGATGTTTTAATAACCATAAAACAGTTTTTTAAATAAAAATATAACTTTATGATGCATTAATTAAAACATCTTAAAATTTAAAATTAGCCATAAAATTTGCATTATCTAAAGAATATTTGTTACAGAAATCAATAATTTAGGAACTTATACAATAGTAAAAAAATATATGCTTCTGAATAATTTGAAAATAATAGAATGTCATTTTTATCATTGTTATGCATTGATGGAATTTCAAAATTATTAGTCATATATAAATACACAAAATGTTCAACGAAAAATTATATAGAGTTAAAAGCACAAATATATATAATAAACATTTTTCCGAAAAGACGTAGTAATATATGCATTGTCTAAAGAGATCCAATTTTTTTTACACAAATCACGAATTTTAGAAACTTTATCAATAGTAAAAAGATCAATATTTTAAAATAATAGATTGACATTTTTTTATCTATCTTATGCTTTAACTGAATTATAGAACCAATAGCAATAATTAACAAAATGATAACCAATACAAAAATTAAAACATATATATAGGTCAAATAGTTTTTTTGAAAAGACGCAACTCATAACGATAACCATAAAACGGTTACTTAGAAAAATAACTACTTAACGGTTTTTTACGAAAAGTCACAAGCCAAATATATTTATTTTTCAAAAGGCACAAATCTTAAAGAAAATTTCGAAAAGACGCAACTTTTGACGCAACAATTATAATGAAAAGACAAAATCCTTGACAAAACGGTTACAAAAAAAAATGCAACTCTTGACAAAACGGTTTTAACGAAAAGATGCAATTCTTGCAAAGAACCATAAAGCGATTTTTTCGAGAAGACGCAACCCTTCAATAACCATAATGCGATTTTTTAAAAAAACATCGACTCTGACATCCGGTAGAAAAATTAAAACATATATATGGGCCAGATGGTTTTTTCCAAAAGACGCAACTCATAACGATAACCATAAAACGGTTACTTAGAAAAATAACTACTTAACGATTTTTTTACGAAAAGTCATAACCCAAAAATATTTATTTCCGAAATGACACAATTCTTAACGAAAATTGAAAAACGGTTATTTTCTATAAGATGCAACTTTTGACGAAACAGTTATAATGAAAAGCAAACCTTGACAAAATGGTTACAACAAAAAACGCAACTCTTGACAAAGCGGTTTTAACGAAAAGATGCAATTCTTGCAAATAACCATAAAGCGATTTTTTTCGAGAAGACGCAACCCTTCAAAATTGCAATAATGCAATTTTTTTGAAAAAAAACTCGACTCTAAGATAAACCTATAAATACAAGATTTTCCGAGAAGACAAGAAAAATATTCATTTGTTTGGGTTTGCTAGTATATCTATCTATATATATTCAATGATGCTTTAAATTACAAAAGAAAATTATGTAGATTATATTTTCTTATCATTATCTTTGTTTGACCAAAAAACAGAAAAAATCATTAGATAGACTCTCTCGACAATTTACCATTGTTTTCCTCTTTGAGATGTTGGAACCCAATAAATAAGAACCGTTCCATACACCAAAACAGTAAATCAAGTCATATTTACTTTATTCTCGTAAGTTTCTTGTACTACTCTTAATTAGTTTATTAAAAAGATAAATACTGCAAGGATCCCAATATCAATTGTGTCACCTTTCATGACACTTATTATGTATTTGGATTTGCGTTTGCTTTCATTGTCTCTGTTTGGGTGGCCTTTTCTACGAATGTAGTTTAAGGAAATATATGTAAGTAATTTGTATGTTAATAACGAAGCATCATTGTGAAAAAAAAAAGACGCAATAATATATACATTGTCTAAAGAGATCTAAAAATTTTACACAAATAAAAAATTTTAAGAATTTCATCAATAGTAAAATGATAAATATTTTCAAAAGGTTCAGTTTTAAGTCTATATGATAATTTTTTTATAAAGACTGATTACATGAACTTGTTAATCTTGGCGTCCAAAATAAGATACCTTACCACTAAAGTTATCGTCTAATATAATGAATTGATGTAGATATGCTAAACCTCTAAATATAGATACTAACTCTTTTGCATGGCATGATACAAAACTTTGACTTTAGAAGCAACTCCATTACAAATTATATCATTTTA